TTGGCCAAAGCCAACCCATTAGAGTTGGAAAGTTAACCACTTTTCCATTATACAGCCCACAATCCACAAATGAATAAAAATCACATCTCCTACAAAATATGTTTCTGTGATTGTGGTACAACTAAAATTGTCTCTAATGATATAATACTGAACCATAAATTAAATGGATGTATTCTTCCCCAAGCTCTAGCAAAGACCAAAACGCTGACCAATAATCTTATTACAAAATTATACAAGGGCCTAGTTACAGTCAACAGATCATCTTATAAGCTGCTACGTACAAAAAACTGTACTTGAATCATTACAGCAGCTCTATTGGTTACAGAAAAATACTGATGAGAACCCAAATGCCCTTCAGTGGGTGAATGGCTGAACAAACTTTGGTATATCAATGCAACAGACTTATTACTCAGCAATAAGAAGGAATGAACTACTGATACATGCAACAACCTGAATGGACCTCAAGGGCTTTATGTTCAATAAAAAAAAACAGTCTCAAAAGGTTACATGCTGTATGATTCCATTTATATAACATTCTTAAAATGACAAAACTATAGAGATGGAGAACGGGGTGGGGGGCAAGGAGGTGGGTGCCACTACAAAGGGTAGCACGAGGGAGTTCTTTCATGATAATAGAACAGTTCTCGATCGTGGTGGTGGTGGTGGTTACAAGCATCTATACACGGCATAAACTTGCATAGAACTACACACACACACACACAACACACGAACGCCGGTTAAAAAATGTTGAAACTTGAATAAGGTCAATAGGCTAGTTAATAGCAATGCACCAATGCCAATTACCTGGTTTTGATATTGTACTATAGCTACAGGACTTACACAAGACTCTTTGTACTATTTTTGCAATTGCCTATAATTATTTCAATATAAAAAGTTTAAACAAAAAAATGGCCCTGGGTACGAGAGTCTGAATTGGAACCTGGTCTGCCTGAATCTAAAATTTGTGTTACTTCCCTATGTACCCTACTGCCTACAAAATCTATTTTATTAAAATATACAAAATATGCATTATTTCCTACAGAGAAGAATATAATATATAGGAGGCTCATCCTGGGTCACATTTAAAGAACTCTAAGAAAGTTCAAAAAGTACTTTATTGGGAAAAAATTTTAAATATCAAATAATTTCATTAATAGCAACTAAGACCAGGTGTTCCCATGTCCAATATGGACATGGAAAGAGAGCTTTACAAGTGATAGAAAGTGATGACTGGGCTGCTTTGGCACCTTGACTGGGCACATTGCCTCTCATTCCCCTCTCACTAGAGGCAGCTCTGGAGTTGACTGCCATGTTGCCTTGTTCACCTGAAAGGTTAACAGCTGTTCCTCTCCCGACACACCAGGCAAACAAGCGGCACCGCAGAAAGCTGTAAAATAGAGTCATTACACTGTATATTTGGAATCTCTTTTCCATCTACCTGAGTACTTCCTGATGAGGTTGTCCTTGTGAGATGTAGAACATGGCCAAATTATAATTATCTCAGCCAGAGAAGTAAGCTAAAGGTGCCAAATGGTTTTTGGAAGTTGCTGCCTGCCTTTATATAAATTCATCAAACCCCTGTACACTAAGTGACAGCTACGAAAAATTACACATACAGGCAAGGACAAAGAATCAAAATAGTGATGGGATGTTTTCCTGTTAGTGATGTTTTCCTGTTTAGCACCATTTTATTTTATTTCGCTAAAAGTTACCCCCCAAATTATTTTTATTGATTGATCAGAAAAATATCAAATAAATCGTTTTTTTAAAATCAGAGCCAAAATTGTGTTCACTGTGTCAAGTCCCCAGTGCTGAATGTGCTATGGGTGCTACAAATCCAACTGCATATATTTCAATTTAATAAATACATAGTATCAGGTGTTTATTAAGAACATAAGGACAAGACATTGCTTAGGGAGATGACACAAAAAGTGAAAAAGACACTAGTCTGTAGCCGCAGTGAGGAGATAAACAGGTATACAGCTAACAAAATTCAGGAGAAACCATAATTACTGATATTATGAAGTATGCTAACATGGCAAACTCAATGTTATGTTAATAACAAGAAAGAGAAAACCCATGAGAATGGTCTTAAGGTATTTAAGAAGGAAATAAATGTCATTGATTATACTCCGTAGGGCAGAACTGGGATCAATGGCTGGAAATTACAAGAATACAGAGGAAGGCTGGTGATGTATATATAGTTTTTAATTAATTTTAATTGTTTTAAATTAAAGTTCATATGTTTATAGACTTCAGGAACTTCCTAAATAAATCATTGATAGGAACTTCCCTAGTGGTCCAGTGGTTAAGACGCTGCACTTCCACTGCAGGGGGTGCGGGTTTGGTCCCTGGCTGCCGAACTAGGATCCTGCATGCCATGTGGCACAGCCAAAAATAAATAATAAATAAATAAATCATTGATGACTTACTAACTACGAGAGTATCTGATGAAACCTCTGTACTGGAAAGGAGTTGATGAGACTCTTTCCAAGGGCCTGTCTTCTCCAGAGGCCCCTCGTATCACAGAAAGCATCTTGTTTACCCAGAGCCACAAATGAACAGCCCATAGAGACCAGATATAAGGGAGACTTGTAGGAACGAGGTGATCTGAGGATGGAATTGTATCCAAAAGGAGTGATTCACATTGGGTGCAGATTAAATGACCCAGACACATGCTCTCTCATGAAGAGTTTACATTTTACAGAGGTCCCAGAGGAGGAAGGAAATACAAAGGCATTAGAAGAAGAGAAAGAGAAAAACTGAGCTCTAATCACGGAAAAGCAGATACAGCACATAGCAACCGACAGTCACTTCCGAGAGAGGAACAGGCTGAGCAGGCTTCCACACTTCCTGCTGGCCAACACTATGCTATATCCTGAACAGTGCTCCACTTCTCCGTGAGACCTGTCCGTTCACCTACCAAGGCCTACTATCTTTTGTGAATTTACTCAATCACCAGAGGGAAACCTGAGACAACGTTGAACTTCATCTGAATTCTGTACTCCTGGAAAGCAAAGACTGTCAAGAAATTACCCCTCACCCCCTTTGTGTTCCTGGAAACAGCTTACTGCAAAGAACCACTCCTCCTCATGTAACTTAGATAAAACTCACGATGACCCCTTGTAACCTATGACAAGACCAAGACACAGACACTCCAAATTCCCATTGTTTATCTGATAAATGATTAGCTGAACTATTTGTCCCCATTGACCATTCTGGTCGATCAATGCCTCTTAACTGGACTTGACCTAAATTTATTCAGGCTTCTCTCCTTCCTCCAAGCCCCTGAACTTTGGACCACCCTTGAGCAATAGAAGGTGAGCAACCCCTCTTTAAAGACTCCCTCCCAATAATCAGCTAGCCTCAAGGAAAAACATTCCCTGATCAACTGTCCAGTCATGCCACCCTCTCATCCCACTGCCCCACATCCAATTCTTTCCAGCCTGTTCACTTCTCCCTGAAAAAGAAAAGCCCTTTTCTGCTTGAACTGAGATGCTTATAGATCTCATGGTCAAAGTGGTTCTTCCTACTGCAATATTCCTCCTCTTCCTATTGAGATAACCCTCGACCCCTTATTATAATAATCTTTTTGAATAAAGCCTCTTCTTTTTACCTAAGTCTAGATTTGTTTTTGACACTTTCAACTTGCAAAGAGCCTAACTTTACAAAACACAAACTGAAATAATTAAATATCCTCTTATTATTGATATTTATTTTTATAGAATCACAACTATTATGTATTTCTTGACATACACCCACATAATATATAGAATATACAGACCACCATAAAATAAACTAAAATTAAACATAAGTTAACTCTGTTATTCTACCAATGTTTGAAAACAAAAATTACTTAAGATCATTAGTTACTAAAATAATTAAAATAAAGCATTAAAAACAAGCATGAAAAGTTGAAACCAACCAACTGAGGTTTGGAAATTGTGGAAATAATTTCTTTATATTTTACTTTTGTCTTCTGTAGATCAATCATCTCTTTACAAAGTCAAAAGAAGAAAAAGTTTGATGAACTTGTTTCTATGTTGGCCAACTATTAACTCAAGCATTAAACCAACTATAATACAGCTGCTAAAGTTCTTTCTGAAGAACTTTCTGCCAACAATGTCACTTTTCCAGTGGTCCGGTACCCTAGTTTCAACTTAGCATGGATACCGTGTAGAGTTAGCACGTTAACTGTATCACATACACAAAATAAACCTTCAATGTTTTTAATGAAGGTAAATACGTGATATTTCTATTCCTGAAGGGATATTTTTTTCTAAAATACCTCTATTCCTATTTATGAAAAAATAGTTTTCAATAATAAATACTCATATTATAAGCAGATAGGGCAGGGGGTCCCCAGAGAAAGAGAACCAGGCATGGCTTTCTTGACGTAAGAGAGGCCATTTTTGGCCTAAGTCATTTTGTGATCTAAGCCTGGCCACAATGCTTGCCTTTGAACAGGTCTCAGTAATTAATGATTTTAAGGGAAGTGAAAGAATGCAAGAACAAAGGAAAAGCAGTCAAGAAACAATAGTTCAGCGATAAAACAGAGTCCTACCTCCTCCTCAAGAGATATATGTAATAATCTGTATGAGTTCTGCAGGAACTAAGGCCCCCATCAAGGTGGAGGATGGAATGATGATGACGACCTTTTCTGACTTCAATCAACTAAAGCTTTGACTCTGTTGACCTTTGCCCCAATTCTATGCTGAATTCTCCTCTGCTCAAGCCTCTTCATGAATACACATACACCACTCAAGTCCCTTCATGAGTACGCAAGTACCCTCAGCTTAAAACTTCCCCAATTTTGCTGTTCTGCGAGACACTGCTTTGGAAAAGATCCCTGGTGTTCTCCTTACTTGTTGCAAGTAATAAGTCCTTCCTTCTCCCAATCTTTGGCTTGGTTGTGTCTTTTGGCCTGACACCCACCAAGACTCGAACCCAGCTTTAGGGTAACAGTATAACAAATACATCACAAAAAATCAACTACTCACCAGCATTGACTATAGCATCTACCTCTAGCAATGTGATGTCACCTCTATAGAGAGAAACTTCTTCACTCAAACTTTTCTTCACCTGTGATGTTTCCTGAGTATTTTCTTCTGTAATAAAGAAGGAATATATATTAATAGTAATATTCTTATTTAATTTAATAAAGACAATTTTAATACAAGAGCCAATATGGGTCACACTCGGATACATTAGACAGTGGAAATAAATGTATAAGTACCAGGGGTGTGACTTATTCTCTATTTATTGTGTATTCCCCAATGCAAATGCAGTATCACATACATAATAGGCATTCAATAAATTTAGGCATGTTATATAGGTCAACAAAAAGTTCAATGTTTACTATTAATATTATAAAAATATCAATTTTAAGATATAATTATGTACCACTGGTTTCACAAGAAGATGAGAAAAAGATGTGTAACTACCAAGACAAAATAAATTTTTACAATGAATGAGCTTACTTCTATTTTGTTCTAATTACCTAAAATGCATCCTTGAAAAGAATATTTACTAAGAAAAAAAAAATTTAGGTTCAGTTCTTTGCTACTTCTAAGTAATAAGCTGTCCCTCATAATGGTATGGATCAAGCACATTTGAAAGTGTGAAACTGCTCCTTTATCAAATTCTATAAACCTTTCACTCTAGAGGGCGCTGCTAGATTGAAAAGAGAAAAAGCTCTGTCCTGCACACAACAGCCAGAAAGCTGGTATATTTAAAACAAGTCAAAACATTATCTTCTAAAACCTGACATATTTTTTAATGTTTTTGAGGAGTATTAAAATCTGAATTTTCATGTATTCTTTAACATATAATAATGTTAAAATATATTCAACGAAGTTATATAAAATCAATGTTTTAAAATACATTAAATGCTATACATGAAAAGCTTTTTAATATAACTTTAGGAAAGATGATTTAAAAATTTTAAACTCATGATCTATGCAAATCTTTCAAGGAGGAAGGTAATGCTATTGATTCACAAAGACACTGTCAAATGAGCTTGCAATAATGAGGTATGTAGGGGATTTGAGGTGATAGGTTACAAGACGCTTAAATTGTCTTCGGCCCCGATAACCAAAGAAAAAAATGGCCAAGATGAAGGAAATGACCTGAGGCCATAAAAGTGATCTTTCCTCTCTCTGCCTCCAAAGCATCCCCTTCTTTGCAATCACTTTTCTCCTTAAAGGATTCTAATCAATTATTCATTGGTGGTAGTAGCAGTAGTAGTAATAATAATAAGTAGAAGAATAATGTGGGAGAATTGTACATTAAAAGAGTAGAGAAAGACTTTAGAAGACCTCAAAATAGAAAACACTTACAGCTGACTTGACCACCTCAGGGACTCCTAGAGTGCTGTTTCCCTGAGTCAGGTAAAGACTAAGAGTTCAGGCTTTACCACCAGACTAACTATTCAATTCTTGGTTCTGCCAATTAACAACTGGGTGACCTTGGATAAGTTATATATTTTCGCCATGCCTCAGTTCATAAATTACTGGCTCCTTTACAGTTAACATGAGTTCATTACACTTAGAATAATGTTTGGTCCAGAGTAAGCTCTCAACAAACATGCCCCTTTTTTTACAAAGGTTTTACAGAGGTGACAAATATTATTTCAGCATCCATACTGAAATACCACAATAGTTTTTAAATATTTTCAACATTTATTATTACTATTATTCCCTATCAGTGAAAGAGATCGTATTTTGTTTGTGCTCTTACTATCTGTCAATGCCTGGTCCAATGACAAAGGCTTTGAGCAAGAAGACCTTGAGTTCCATGACCAATCAATTTCTATTCTTACTACTTTTACCAAATTAGAAAGTCCTGATTCCCAATTAAAGATTGTTGGATGATAATAAATATTTGGTGGCTTTGTCAGAAAATTCTGGATATTTGGACTACTGTAAACCTAGAAATTATAAAGACTTCTCACTGATGATGAGTTTTAAAACTCCATCGGGGCTTCCCTGGTGGCGCAGTGGTTGAGAGTCAGCCTGCCGATGCAGGGGACACGCGTTCGTGCCCGGGTCTGGGAAGATCCCACATGCCGCGGAGCGGCAAGGCCCGTGAGCCATGGCCGCTGAGCCTGCACGTCCGGAGCCTGTGCTCCGCAACGGGAGAGGCCACAACAGTGAGAGGACCGCGTACCACAGAAAAAAAAAAAAAAAAAAAAAAAAAAAAAAACTCCATCAGGCATTAAATTGATAAATATATCACAAATGAAAGCAGAAAGATTGACTGTTTCAACTTGGGAGACAGAGTAAATCGATTCCTGATCTATCCTCTAGTTGCGTTTAGTTCTAAAAAGTATTTCTTCATTTTCTTATGAAGCATTATGTATGTAATATTGCATTTATAGTCATGTAAGACTTTTAAACATATGTGGCAACAAATCATGTATTTTTTTCCAAAAGTAAAGAACTTGTTAAAGAATTGTATTAGAAAGCATCAAAGTTTAAACCATTTATATCACAGTTCAGTTTTCTTAAAACAAATCATAATCTCTCAACTTCAAACTTTAAAAATGGGACATTTTGAGCCTAAAGGTTCAGACAATTCAACATATTAAATAAATATATTGCTATGACATGTCATTCAAGTAAGTTACTCAAAATGGTCTTATTAGAATTATTAGCATCATGAAGAAATATCTTTATCTCTCTTTCATTTTAAAAATTCACATGAGCATCTTTTTTCCTCAGAGCCAGATTTATACCTACCTGCTGTCCAACTCCTCACATAGTATATCAAAAAGGCATAAATGTACTCAAAAACTACAATTTGATAGTATTAAAAATTATCAGTATTTCCTCCAACAATAAACCAAAACCAAATGGCATATTTTTGACCACCAAGTGTTCTCTGTAAATATAACAATGTAAATTATCATTACAGGCCACATCTTTTACTTGAATAGCAACGTATCACCTTCCTTTTCACACAACTGTGTTCCACCAGCACTGATCCCAAAGTGTCTTTTCCCATATCCTGGGTTTTCAGTGATAAATAGGACAGAAAACTGTCAAGCACTGCTCCCTCACAGACATTCTATATGTACACAAAGCACTGATTCACATTTTGTACATCAGTGGCTTTATCCAGCTGAAAGTTAAAATATCTGTCAGTGTGCATATGTGATAGTAATTGTTTTTCCAGATTGTATCCTATTGATATTGTAAAAAAAAAAAGTTTTTTTCCGGAACTACCACAATAAGGGAAAAGAGATCTCAATACAGAACTGGGCTCAGTTACCAATACAGCAAGGACAAGTGAGGATTTATAACCAAGGAGCAGAGTGGGGATCAGTGGAAGGAAAATTACTAAGAGAAAACTTTGGGGGTGAGGGAAGATTTTGGTTAAACACACAATTCTTGCTGAAGGCAAGCCAGGGTGGTCAGATATCACCTAGGGTATGAGGGGGGATGCAGAATTTTATTAGATATGGAGAGTGACCAGATAGCAAGGATGAGAAATTCTCTCTAAATTGATTTAGCAGGATTCTTGCTAAAATTGGACAATGCAGGTCTGGCAAGGATGGGGCCTAGTTGAAAAAAGGGTTTGGTGGAACCTGACTAAAGTTTAGTTAAGGGAGAGAGTCTTTGTCAGTCCCTGCTCTTATTTGAGGAAAGAGAGACTTCCTTCCTTTGAACAATGTAAGTCCATTTCTCATTAGGTTGCCTTTTGTCCTTTAAGGACCAGCTGAACCATTGGTTGAGACTTGGTAGTAGAGGACTTCTGGTGCAAGCAGTCAGGCATTTAATGAGGGAAATTCCCATGAAAAAAAAAAGAAAAACAAAGATCAATGGTTGGAGCACACTATAAAACTAGTTTCTGAGTCCAGAGGGCAGACAGTTGAGAAGATATCTACATGTTGGGCTTGAAGCATCATTCGCAGTCTCAATGTCCTTGGTGATCGCATCAGGTGTTCCAGCAAACTTTCTGAATGGCCCACACAATAGCAAGCATGAAAGTTGTACATACATGATCTGTTGTGGTGATTTCTTTGAAGTTTATAACAGGTCATCCAGCTTCAGCTTTCAGGGCTTCAAGAAAGGGGCAGTTTTAGATCTCAATGAGGCCAAATAAGGAGGAGGGGAGAAAAATTGGAAACATTTTGGAGAGCTGTAGCCAGATACTGGAGGAAACTAGAAAATTGACAATATGTGCAAGACAATGAGCAAGACTGGAATTTAATAACCCAAAAGGGTGCACTACAGTTTTCCACTGAAACCTAAAATGTCTCTCTACAGTCACCCCCCCACCCCATTTTTTTCTTGTTTACAAAATAAGTCTGGTCTCATTAGATTTGGTCTGATTATTTACATAAATGCAGCAAGAACGGTCACTGACCACTTAGGCCTTTCAAGTTTGCTTTGCTGGAACTTTTCATAAAGAATCTCAAATTAGACTTTTCAAAGCCTCTCAAGGCTAGGAAGCACATTCAAGAACTCACCACCAGATTTAGCCTGTAATACCTACACATTTGGGTAAATTCCTCTCTTCTCAAGGTTCCAAGAATATCCTAAGGTTCCTGGGCTTGATAGGAAGTGACCTTCCTTACTCATCTGTAAGGCTGGGAACTCTATAAACCAGGTACCAGACTGGTTTCTCCAAAAGGGCTTTGTAAGCATTGGCTCTATAATGCAAATCTTAGTTCCTTAAAACTATCTGATAACATGAGATTCTATATCTTTGAGATTATCATTCACAAATATGACATTCCAACCAAAGTCTATACAACTAATTTTTCCAATTATGTCCTGTTACAAGGAAGACAGATTCTTATTGAACCTATACAAATAAAGTCACTGCCATGAAAATAAGAATACTCAATAGAGTTTCTGAATTCTAGAGAGATCAGGTAGGGAGAAAAGCTAAATGTTTCATTTCTGTTTACAAAAGTATAATTAACTAAATTGTCATGAGTTACAGAGAGCTTGAGAAAAGATAAAAAGGTGTTCCTTAAATAAAACATTAAAGAACCAGTATTGTTCCTTATCAATAACCACAAAAATCATAATCATTCTTCATCATTAGTTCATTCAGTCCCATGTAACTGATTTGTTTCTTTCCCCCAGCGTTATTTAAT